ACTGTAAAATATGCATATGTATTACTGCGATGTTTGTTCCACGAATCAACTATGGGCTTAATTTCATTTCCGAATATTTGAAATATGCGAACACCTTGTTTTCTGCTGTCACCGCGCTCTGTGGAGCGAATTCCTTGTTCTTAGTCACGCCACAGCCTATCAACAAGACGGATTTGTTGTCATACTACGATATGCAATACCTGCTTTCTGACAACACGATTTTCAGAAATCGTTTGGGGCAATGAATTTAAAAAAGGTCCTACTTTATTTTTTCTCATTATTTAATATATTTTTAATTATTTATTTTCATCATACACTATCTTTTACTTCATTGACCGTTAGACAGTCGTGAAATGAGGGTATGAATTTGGAAAACGCATCCACACTGAGAACGTTACAGAAATAAAATTATAACAAATAAAATAAAATAAAAACACGTTTACAAGTTTTTTATAACAACATCGTCACGAACCCGTGAACACGTGTCTGGCTTATGTCAGATGTACATAATGTTAAGCTCCTTGGATGTAATGAGAGTATGGTCGTTTTTTACGACCACCCCTTATCGGCTTTAAGGACGACCGAAATACTGGCTATTTTGTATGTACTCAGTGGCGTGCAACGAACAACATAGTTACAAGTTCATTGTTTCGAGGAAACAATCACACCCTTTACATGTTGAAGTTTAAAGGGCGGTAGTCGTCGCGTCACGCATGCGCGAGATATATGGGTCTCGTATAAACAAAAATGGCGACTTTGACTGTTGCGCAGATCTACGAGTACAAACTAGAAGGTTACCTAGCTTTAATTAGGTATTTGTTTAGGTGATTGGAAGGTATGGAAGGAGTCACCGGGGGTAATCAGTGCAAGTCGCACCCAGGTCAAACCTCATACTTGTGATTTCCACCAGAAGAGCGCATTGGATTGTGGGAAGATCAATGTTTATCAACACAAATGTCGGACATGCGCAGCGCGACGACCACCGTCTTTTAACTACTAGTATTTGCCAAATAAGTGAAAACGGATCCTTGTTTTTTTCAGTGGATAATTATATTCAACTTTTCAACAATGCACGCAGAGATGAGAAGAACAATACGTAATCGTTCTAAAACTATGCTATTGTTTTACCGCATTTTTTTTTTAAAACGACGTCCGATTAATCACTATACTACAGTGGATGTACGCATAATATTCATGCAGTACTATCGACAACGACTAATTCCACACACAGTTGCCAGATGTTGTCATGGGAACAGCCGGACGCACAAAGACACGTCTGGCAGCTCACTTAACAAGAGTTACGTACGAATGTTACATTTGGCGAATACATTATCTAATATGGTGTGCGAACACGGTGTGAATTAGAGAATGGGAGGTGGGTGTCATACACAGGTGTCAATGTCATACGCGTAAAAAGCAATCGTTTAGCGAGGAACTGAAACACAGAGATTTACACAATCGCTTTTGCATCTTTTGCACACTGTGAATTGGCACAACCACTATAATATAATTTAACCATAGTTGACGTCATCTGTGAGCAAATCCGTGATTTCACTCACATGATTACAATGCACAACATTAAACAGTCATCCAGGCAGCTACCTTTTTTGTTTCACAACGTTGTCCTATCGCCATCAGTATCGATGACCACCCGTGATATTCCGTGGTAACAGATGGTTCGTCGTATTTTAATTTGCAGACACGGAAGCGAGTGAGAATCATATTATGAGTTAATTTATTATTAATATAATTATATTCCACTTGTAATTACGTTGCCAAGGTAACCGTATTGTTGATAATTTGACGTTCTTTAAACACCTCGGAAATACATTTACCTGCAATTATCCAGAGCCATCATTATACTATAAAATTATACTATAAATTTATTTTCACTATGATTGGAGCAATATTTCTGGGTTTTAAATTCACAGACTTTTATTTCTCATGTTCACTTGCATTTAATTTAGCAGATATTACTTATCAATGAGAACAGTGAAATTCAAAACCAGTGATTCAGTGATTAATTGCCACATTAAAAATGTAGCTGATTATTCATCGAAACTTCTTTCGCCGATGTTATCTTTATCATGTAAATATTATGTGAGTGATAAAACAAAGCCCGAAATACGTGTACGCATTCGTTATGTACGTGATTAGCCTGTACAAACTCCGGGATCTGGAGTACTTTTGTATTTAGCCTGACAAGGTTGCGCGAGTTGCGCCCTCCGCGGTGCTCCAACTCCAACACAGTGAGGTCTGATGCCGTTCGGCCGACGAGGGCGCCATTCACGCCTACATTTCAGGCTATTATGTATTATAAACAGTCAATAAGTACTGGTGCTTGCGTTGGAATGGTGGATTAGGGCTACGGAATGCTTCAGTTATGTGGGTGGATGTTTTTCTTTGAACACGGTTACCCCAAGAAGAATGCGGTGGCAAAATACCGCATTTGTCTGAGAATGAGCCAATCATATGGAAAGTAACATACTTCGATTATTTGTTGTGACTGGTAACATCATTAATGCAATTGGCAATGGAACCACACAATGTTGGTTTCATAACATACTGTAAAATACTTTATTTTAGCTGAAATTACTGAAAATGCTTTTTGAGTGTTTTGTATCGAATTTATTTTCACTGATTTTTGATGAGTTGAATGTGAAATATAAGAAAAAAAAAGTATATTCGCTGGATTTTATTTTCACTGAACCATCCTTTCAGTGAAAAATAGCGAAAATAAACTCCAAGCAGAAATAAAGTATTCTACAGTAAATTATCATCTGTATCACGTAAACAAGAAACATGTAAATTATAAAAAAAAATGACAATAAAATATTATTTTATATTATATTA